TGCTGCCGGGGGTGCTGGAGCCACGGGTCCCGGAGGTGCTCGTACTGGAGGTACTGGAGCTGCTGGGAGTGGTGGTGCTTTTGGTGCTAGAGCTACTGGTGGAGCTCGAGCTGGCCGTGCTGCTGGAGTAGGTGCTACTGGAGGTACTGGAGCCGGAGCTGCTGAGTCTTCCGGTGGTTCTGCTGGAGCTGGAGCTGCTAGAGGTACTGGAGCTGGAGGTAATGCTGGAGCCGGTGCTCCTGTGGGTGATGGAGTTAGCGCTACTGGAGCTGCTGGGGGTGCTCCTGGTGCTGGTGGTGCTGCTGGAGTTGGAGCTGACGCTGGGGGTGCTGGTGCTGTCCCTGCTGGTTCTTGAGGCGCTGCGCGGCCGCGGCCGTACTTCGTTCCGCTCCTTGAGCAGGTTCTTGGTCTTCCGCCTTCTCCTGGTCCTGCTCCTTCCTTAGAGTGTCCACCGCCTGTCCAGTCCGAGTCACAGTTACAGCTGACCTCCCCTCTTCCTGCTCCTTCTCCCTACGCTGGTCCTACTGGAGGTCTTGCTGAGCGTCGTGAGCCTGAGTCGCGTCCAGCGTCACCTCTTCGTACTGCTCGCACTAGTCGTCGTGTTCCACGTCAGCGTCCTCCTGCGGTCCCGGGCACGCATCAGATGGCACTGCGTCCTTCCACTGCGTCACAGCGTGTCCCTTTGCCGTCTCCTCCAGCGTCCTCTCTTCCTGCTCTTGCTGACCCGGAGTCTGACTCCCTTCGTGCTGCCAGTCCTACTGTCACGTGTTTCCTAGCCACTGTTGTCACTGACCATTCCTTTGAGTCCACTGCTGCGTCTGCCTTAAGTGCCGAGCTTGTCGACTTCGCTGCTCACTGTCGTCTAGACTACGCCGCTAGTCTTGTTGCTGAGTCTGTGTCTGTCTGTCCTCCGTCCGTCGGGGGTGAGTGTGCTCTTAGCACGGACGTCCTTGAGGACAGACAGGAGGAGTTCCAGTGTTTTGCTACTGCTTTACCTCATCTCGTGTCCATGCTACTTGCCCCTGAGGGAGACCCAGATGCACCAGACATCCCGAACCCGCGCTCTTACGCAGAGGCGATAGAGGGTCCCTACTCCTCTCAGTGGCAGGCAGCCATGGATGCAGAGATGGCTTCCTGGAAGTCCACAGGCACCTACGTCGACGAGGTTCCCCCACCTGGGGCGAACATTGTCAGTGGCATGTGGATTTTCAGGGTGAAGCGGCCGCCGGGTTCTTCGCCTGTCTTCAAGGCGCGTTACGTGGCTCGAGGCTTCAGTCAGTTGCAGGGAGTTGACTACTTTCAGACCTTCTCCCCTACCCCGAAGATGACCACTCTTTGGGTTCTACTGCACGTCGCTGCTCAGCGTGACTACGAGCTTCACTCCCTTGACTTCAGCACTGCTTTCCTACAGGGCAGCCTGCACGAGGAGATCTGGCTGCGCCGCCCACCTGGCTTCACTGGGTCGTTTCCTCCTGGTACCCAGTAGAGCCTCCGGTGGCCAGTCTACTGTCTCCGCCAGGCGCCCCGTGAGTGGCACGACACACTGAGGACTACGCTTGCGGCTCTTGGGTTTGCTCCTTCCACTGCTGACCCGTCGCTGTTTCTTCGCACCGACACTTTGCTGCCGCCGTTCTACATCCTCGTGTACGTCGACGACTTGGTGTTTGCTACGGCTGACACTGCTGGACTCGCCCACGTGAAGTCCGAGCTGCAGAAGAGACACACGTGCACAGACCTGGGTGAACTGCGCAGCTTTCTTGGCTTGCAGATCACTCGGGACAGAGCACGGCGCACCATTACCCTGACTCAGTCACACATGGTGCAGCAGGTCCTTCAGCACTTCGACTTCACGTACTCCTCGCCTCAGGCCACTCCTCTGTCTACTCGCCACTCGCTCTCAGCTCTGCCTTCGGATGAGTCCGTAGAGCCGAGTGGCCCGTACCCAGAGCTTGTTGGCTGCCTCATGTACCTGATGACCTGCACTCGACCTGACCTGGCATACCCTCTTAGCATCTTGGCACGCTATGTTGCTCCTGGGAGACACCGACCAGAGCACATGGCTGCAGCAAAGAGGGTGTTGCGCTACTTGTGCAGTACGTCGGGCATGGGGCTAGTGCTTGGAGGGCGGAGTCCAGTGGTCCTCACTGGTCACGCAGACGCGTCTTGGGTTGACGACCTGGCTACGCAGCGGTCGTCACAGGGTTACACCTTCAGCCTTGGTTCCGGCTCTGTTTCGTGGCGGTCTACTCGCTCGTCTTCTGTTCTCAGCTCCAGCTGTGAGGCTGAGATCTACGCAGGGGCCATGGCTGCACAGGAGCTACGCTGGCTCACCTACCTGCTGACTGACCTCGGTGAGCCGCCTCGTTCTCCTCCGGTTCTGTACGTAGACAACAAGGCCATGCTGGCCTTGTGTCGGGAGCACAGACTGGAGCATAGAACGAAGCAGATTGCTCTTCGCTACTTCCTTGCTCGTGAGCTGCAGCAGCGTGGTCAGCAGCGTCTTGCTTACGTTGCCTCCCAGGCCAACACTGCTGATATCTTCACCAAGGCACTTCAGCCTTGTGATCATCAGCGCTTTTGTACTATGCTAGGTCTTGTGCCTACTTTGCCTCACTTGCTTACCTCTTGACTTTACCTGTACTGTGATATGTATATACCTGCACTTGCTTGTTTACCTTTTCTATATAATCCTGCATGTGAACTGGCCTTGTGGCCTTTGAACCTGTGCTCGGAATGTGTGGTGACGTTGTGATCCACCCTGAGCTTGCTTTGTTTTGCTTTGCTTGACTGGTCTTGTGACCCCTTGTTCTCCCCCACTTTGCCTATGGGGGTGTGTCGAACATTAATCACATAGCCTGTTTAGGCTGTAGTGGGGTAGACACTATGGGGTACAGTCTCTTAGGGTTTCATATTTGTACCCAACTCATTTTCTATTCTATCATTCATTCCTCAATTCTCACAGTAAAAACTCTACTAGAGCGCTACGATCACCCTCACAACCCCGTGCCCTCCTCCGTAGTCCACTCCCGTTGTAGGGTGACTCTCCGCGCTATCCCCATCCCATCCCATCCCATCCCATCCCATCCTATCCCATCCCATCCCATCCCATCCCAGCCCAGCTCATCTTATCCCATCCCATCCCATCCCATCTAATCCCATCCCAACCCATCCCATCCCATCTTATCCCATCCCATCCCATCCCATCGAATCCCATCCCATTCCATCCCATCCCATCCCATCGAATCCCATCCCATTCCATCCCATACCATACCATTCCATCCTGTCCCATCCCATCCCATCCCATCCCATCCCAGCCCATCCCATCTCATCCCATCCCATCCCATCCCATCCCATCCCGTCCCATCCCATCCCATCCCAACCCATACCATCCCATCTTATCCCATCCCATCCCATCCCATCCCATCCCATCCCAACCCAACCCAACCCAACCCAACCCAACCCAACCCAACCCAACCCAACCAGTGCCAGCCTGCATAACTGTTCCCTCATTTTAGCGGGGCACAAGGCCAATCCCCATGCTTGCATCATTCCCAAGGGTCCCGTTCTCCTCCCCTCACCCTGCTCTGAGCCTCTGCTGGTTGCCATTTCTGTTGCCATCTCAGATCCATCTCAGTTGCTCACTCATTTGGCCTGGTTACCAGCAACACGCTCACAGGAACTGCGCTCGCACTCTCTCTTCAAAATCCCTTTCCCTCCTCTGCTTTCCATCACTCACCCCCACCTTCTCTCCCTTCATTCCACTGCTTCCCTTCTCTAGCCTCTTCCCACATCCCTCGCCATGTTCACGCCTCTCTCAGTTTGCTTCACCTCCCCATTTTGTCAACAATTTCTTCACTCCCGAATACACTCTCTTTCCTTGCTGCCCTCCATCCAAGGTTCATTATCATGTCCCTCAACCCATGACTGCATCTGCTATGTGACCCATGCACCCATGCACAGATGCACCCATGCACATATGCACCCATGCACATATGCACCCATGCATCCATGCACCTAAGCACCCATGCACCTATGCACCCATGCACCAATGCACCCATGCACCCATGCACATATGCACCCATACACATATGCACCCATGCACCTATGCACCTATTCACCTATGCAATTATGCACCCTCCACTCATGCAACCACACACCCATGCACCCATACACCCATACACCCATGCACCCATACACCCATGCACCCATACACCCATGCACCCATGCACCCATACACCCATGCACCCATGCACCCATGCACCCATACACCCATGTACTTCAGCGTTTCATCAATCCGCCCGATACCCTTTTTCTGCTATGTGATCCTGAACCTGTGCAGCCATGCACCCATGCACCCATGCAACAATGCACCCATGCACCCATGGACCTATGCACCCATGCACCTATGCACCCATGCACCCATGCACCTATGCACCCATGCACCTATGCACCCATGGGTACACCTATGTACACCCATTCATCCATGCACTTATTCACCCATGAGCCCATGTCCGGTACACACGTACCCATGCAGGCACAGATGGAGGATAGTGTCAAGATGTCTATCAAAGCAGCTGGGAGCTGTTCCATTCACAAGATATCAATGTACACTTCATGATACTCTGAAGATCACAATCACCATAAAATGATCCTGTACCAAAATGACCTGTGTGTGTTGAGTACATGAGTGCATTCTGATAAGTGTGGTGCTGCACTCTTCTTGGCGAGCTGCACTCTTCTTGGCGAGCAGCGCTGCTTTCAGCAGATGAAACAGAGAATTTATGTTGCAATTTTTCTTGTCCTAGTGGAAGGGCATTAACATGTCCTACTAATGTACAGTATACATGGTGTTTCCTAAAAGTCTAAAAATATTCCTAACAGCAGCTGGGAGTTGTTCCATTGTCACCATTGTTCCAGCACACCCTTCAGTGTTGTACCATATATGTACTGCCCATATTCCTCTGGGATGCGCTCATGCTGAGAGCAGCCAATGCACTGAGAGCTCTTTCAGGAGCTCCTTCTATGCGCCCTGCTGCTGCTGCAGCCTGGCCTCACCTGCCCCTCATGCACCAAACCCTCTCTCCTCCCCGCCTGCTGCTTCACCCCCTCCCTGCCACACACGCCACTTGCCACTGCTATGCCACCCTGCCTTCCACCTGCTGCCCTCCCTGCTGCTCCCTCACCACACCCACCCCCCTCTCTCCTTGTCACACCACTCGCGTGCCTGCTGCTGGCCTTGCCAGCTGCTCTCACTGATGATGCAGCACCACGTGATCCCGCAACTACTGCTGCTGCTGATGCTGCACGTGGGGCAGAACCGGCATGTGTGCAGCTGCCTTTGCCACCCTTCACACTCGAGCTCACCGCCTTGCTACTGCAAAGATAAATTCTTCCTTGAGTTCTTGGAAGTCTGCTGTGCACACCTGCGACACGCCGAACGTTCCACACACGACAAAATAGAAAACCGCACACGACACGCAAACGACGACGTGACACACGACTAGCGATAACTCGCTATTGACTCGACACACACATTCAAAATCATGCCTCATCATTCACACACTTTTGTAAGCATGAAATATATATTATTTCATGCCCTCATACCATTCCATGCACACACACATGCACGCACACAGACAACAAGCCGAGTGCAAAACGTAGGGTTGCACCAACAAACCCCCCCTCGTATTGTTGGCCTTAGGATCTGGTTCTCTCAGTTCAGAGCCATCCCAGCCAGCTTGCAACACTTCCAATGCTGCTGCTCAACCAGCCTCTTGGTCATCATGTCAGCTGGCTGCCCTGTCGTCTTCACGTAGCGCAACTCAACTTCACCCGCGGCCACCATGCTCCTCGTCCAATGCCACTCCACCCTCATGTGTTTCGTGAGGCCATGCAACACAGGGTTCTTAGCAAGAGCAATGGCACCCTGGCTATCACAGTAGAGTGGGGTAGGTCCTTGCTGCTCCTCCCCCAATTCAGCCAACAAACGCCGCTGCCACACAATCTCCCGTACGGCACGGAAGAGTGCCATGTACTCGGACTCCACCGAGCTCAATGCTTGATCCACCTGCTTCTTGCTCTCCCAAGCAGTTGGGCCTCCACCAACACAGGAAGTGAACCCTCCAACACTTGTCATGTCCTCTGGTTCCGATGCATAAGAAGCATCCGAGAATGCGGGGAGGAACAAACGCCCGGGTTCAACACCATCCGCGCCCTTTTGGCGCCTTTGCGCCACCGCCGAGTATTGCAGCCCAACCGTCGCTGTTTGGCCAAGATACTTGGCCACCCTCATTCCAGCAGCTACCTGCTCCTCATTAGGGCATTGAACAACCCTAGCCAACTGTCCGCTTGCAAAGGCGACGTCCGGTCGGGTGTTTACTGCCGCATATATGAGGCTGCCCACCAACGAGTGAAAACGGCGCATCACCTCCTTCACAAGGTCAGAGGAGGGTGAGAAGATGAGGATGTCATCCACGTACACCACCATGAAGCTCCTCTGCCCCCCCTCGCCAAGCATGAACAATGAGTGATCGGCCGTTGCGGGAGTGAAGCCGATCACCTCCAAAACATCTCGTAGCTTCAAGTACCACTGCCTAGGGGCCTGCTTCAGTCCATAAAGGGCCTTCTTCAGCTTCAAGACTCTGCCGCTACCATCATCAAACCCCTCTGGCTGCACCAAGAAAATATCTTCTTCGAGAATGCCGTTGAGGAACGCGGTTCTCACGTCCATTTGTTTCACCACCCATCCTTTGACGGTAGCTCCCGCGAGTAGGGTTCGCAGCGTCGTTGACTTCACCACAGGAGCAAACAACTCCTTATAGTCCACCTTCTCCTTCTGCTGGTACCCCTTGGCTACAAGCCTAGACTTGTAGCGCTCGATTTTGCCGTCGGCGTCGGACTTGATCTTGAAGAGCCACTTGGACGTAATCGCCTTACGCCCCTCCGGTAGCTCCACCAATTCCCACGTGCCGTTCTCCTCAATGCTCTTCAGCTCACTCTCCATTGCGTTCTTCCACTCCTCAGCATCACTACTCTCCAAGGCTTCCTTGAGAGTTGCTGGTTCCCCCGGCATCTCCACCGGAGAGAAGAACGCGAAGGCACACTCCTCGTACTCACTTTCCTCGTCATCTCCAACCATCATTGCCACTCCGGCCAAGGCTGACTTGGCTAGCTTTCCCAGTGCCTCATAGGTCAGCCTATTTGGGGCTTGGATTCTCCTTTTGCCCCTTCCAAACTCCTCAGCTGCAGGGACATGAAGGCTCTCATGGCGTTGCTGCGGGGTGACTCGGATCCGTGGAGCACTCGTAGTGCGAGAAGGAAGTGTCGGTGCACGCTCGCTCACTTGCTGCACCTCCTCCTCTTCTTCCTCTGCATCCTTGGCCTCCTCTCCCCCATTCACAAGGGAAGATTTCCTTGTGGTGGTGCTGCCGCTGCTCAGCTCCAAGGGCAGCTCCACATGCTCCAAACCGGAACTCTTAACCTCCCCAAACCGCATGCCTATCTTCGCCTCATTCTCCGCCTTCCAATCCTTGTACATCAGATTCTCCATGAACTTGCAGTCTCTGCTCACCAAGAATTTCTTGGTGAATGGGTCCCAAAGAAGCCACCCCTTGCTGTTTTGAGCCATGCCCAAGTGCACAGCTCATATCGCCTTGGCACCGAGCTTGTTGTGCCGAAGATGCTTAGGCACGAGCGCCATGCACATGCACCCGAACACCCGAAGCATATCCACCTTTGGCTTCCTTCTAATCCACTCCATATAGGGCACCCATTTGTCTGCTCCCACATGAGTCAAAGCTCTGTTCTTGGCCACACACGCACTCCGCACCGCATCAGGCCAGAAGTAGTCGGGTAGCCCGGCTTCAATGAGCAACCCGCGTGCCGTCTCCGTGATTGTGCGGTTCGCTCGCTCGGCGATGCCGTTCATTGCAGGGGAGTATGGCATGGTAAGGGAGTGCCTTATGCCATTCTTCTTCAGCCACAATCCAAACTCCTTGCTCAAGAACTCTCCCCCTCGATCGGTGCGGATTGACTTGATTAGCCGGTCTTGTTGCCGCTCCACCATCGGCAACCAATCCGTCTTCACCGTTTCAGCCACGTCGATATTCTTGGACAGCACGTACACCCAGGTCATGCGGGTGTAGATGTCCACAATGGTGAGGAAGTACTCTGCTCCAGCAGCTCCAAGCTTCAAGGGGCCCACCACGTCCATCATCACCTCATCGAGTGGTGCCTTAGCCGTTGCCTCCGAACTAGAGAACAGGTAACGGGTGAACTTGGCTTGCATGCATGTCGGGCAGCCAAGTACCTCATCGGGCTCCCCCTTCACACGTATGCCAGCAACCATCTCATTCTTCACTAGCTGCTGCAAGATGGGCAGGGCCACATGCCCCATTCGCCGATGCAAGGTCAACCAATCACACTCCCCCGTAGCCGAAGTCGGATTGGAGAATGCCGCACTCACAATAGTGCCCCACATGCTCTCTCCGTAGTCCTCCTCCGCTGTTGCCTTGGGGTTCTCCTCACCCTTGTGCTGCTTCTTGGCTGCTGCACCACTCTCCTGGTGTTCACCGAGTTTGCTGGACCCTCCAAGATTGCACTTCTTGGAATCAATCTCCTTAGCGCGACCGTTCGCGCCGTAACCGCTACCAACCGCTTCACCCTTAGTGCTGATGCTTGCTGCCATGTGCCTCTCCTTAGGCATAGGGACCACAAAGATCTGCCACATCTCATTATAGACATCTCTATCCTCATGAAGGTTCCAAAGAACCCGCTCGCCAATCCTTGCGGTGTAGGTCTTGGCTCCCTTCGAGTTCGTGTCCATGCCGGCCTTTTGCAACCGCCACACGGAAATCAGGTTCGCAGCAAGGTTGGGCACCCAAAGCACATTCTTGAGGCCCACCATCTTCCCATCAGCACCCTTGAACATGGCCTTGCCCATGCCTTTCACCTCTGCTCGCTGCCCCAAAGCCGATGTGACATGCTTCACAGGTGACGGTTCAAGTTCGGTGAGCAAGTCCGCACGTGTAGGGTCACCTTCCCCACAGCAGCAGGCTCCTCAAAGCTTTCATCCTTCTCTGGTGCAGCCGGTGCATGCGTTGACACAAAGAAAAATTGACCCGGAAAGCGATCGTCCCTCGACTCGCTCTCAATTAACTGTTCTTCATATTTGCAGCACCACCTCCGCGACCGCCACGGCCTCCACGGCCTCTTCCTCTCCCTCCCCCGGCTCCTCTACCCTCTTGGCCTTGAGCAGGATTCCATCCATCAAGGAGTTTGTAGCAATCCCGCCACATGTGTTCGCTCTTGTGGCAAAAGTGACACTCGCCGTCGAATCGTCCGCGACCGCGTCCGTAGTTCTTGTTGTCATTGCCATAGCTGCCACTTCCGCGGCCTCCATTGTAGTTGCTGCCTCCAAACCTTCCTCCTCCTCGTCCTCTGCCCCTTCCATGGCCATACCCTCGACTGATGCTTGCTGCCCCGGCGCCATCCGCACTCACCAACTCACGGCGGCGAAAGTCCTCTTGAAGGATCGCTCGCTTCACGTCTTCAAGCGAGAGGCGGGGCAAGTCACGATTGAGGTTGATGATTAGCGAGGACCATGACTCTGGGAGTAAGGCCAGAAACTTGGTCTTCTTTTGGAGCTCACTGTAGTTCAAATCAGCTCCCTCAAGCCGCGTCAACAAGTCGAAGAATTTCTGCACCCCTTCTTCAACCGCTTCGTCTTCTTCAATTCGTAGTGCCGCCATTTGCCGTTCCATTTGGGGTTGGCCTTGAGATTGGACTTCTCCACTGCCACCAGCACCTCTTCCACCCCTTTCCTCAGGTTCAGCCATTGTCGAAACTGCTCCAAGGCTCTCTGATACCACTTGTTATAGTCACAATAGGCTTGAATGTGCCTAAAACGAAAGATAGAGTGCATAGTCGGATTTCTGCACAGCGGCTTCAAGCGCTGATAGCGTTCTGCTCATAGCTTTAAATGCCTTGCTATAAATTGGATCTGGAGCATCTTGATGTCGCCTACAATAGGCAATTTAAATCACACGATTTCATCAAGTATTGATGACGCAACTTCGGTTTGAACAAACGGCACTATGGCAGCCACTATAGACTTAGAACACAAATTAGGAAGAGTTACGAGTTGGGAATGACTCCCAGCTCCTACAAACCCCAAGAGCCGAGGTACAGTGATGTGGACCAGTGCCACACTGTCCCCAACCACGAAGGGTCTCGAAAATACCCTCCACAAGGGCCTACACCAAGAGAAATGTTACACTACACAAAGTAATGTAACTATTCTCACTATCTTGAAGTTTACCCTTTTGGAGAGCTTCGAAATCACTTGAATCTTGAAACCAAGGCTCTGGTTCTTCAAGATAAATTCTT